CCCTCCATTTCCCATTCACCCTCATTTTAAGAATATTACATCTTAAAAATAAAACCTCAACAGCTACGACATTAGCGGGGCATTGTTAGTTTTTGTGTTTGAGTTGCTTGGAAGATGCTTAAAGGTCTCTTATTTATGTGAAGTTTTGATCTTGGAGTAGTTTAAGAGAATGATCACAAAATTTGTTGGGGTCAGCTATATGAATTCTTTATATTTGTTCTGTTGTGTTTTATTTCAATAAATAGATGTGTTGGGTGCAGCCATGCTAAAAACTTAGCAGGGGTGATTAATTTTTGAGTTTGAGTTGCTTGGAAGATGCTTAAATGTCTCTTATGTATGGAAAGTTTTGATTGTGGAGTAGTTTCTATGAGTTTCTATTTGGAAGTTTTTGGAGAATGTGTCAGTTGGGATGGTGTTAAAGTACAAATTCTTGACTTCAAGTTTAAAAACTTACTGGAGGGCAAGGTTTTGGTCTAATGGTAAGAGTGTAATACGTGATGTGTGGATAGGGGACACATCATGGGTTTGAACTGTGTCGCAAACAAAAGCCTGGTATTTAAGCAGAGAAGACTAGAAGGGCAGACCCATTATACACCAACTTTCAAACCGTGCGTTACTGGACCTCGGAGGTTTCTTGGTTATCAAAACAGAAAAAGAGTTTAGAAGCTAACTGTTCATGTCAAAGATTTGAGGTACCCTTTTGTATTTGAGTTGCTACGGAGATGCTTATAGGGCTTTATTCTCTTAAAAAGTTTTGATTTTGCATAATGTGCTGTTTGAATAGTGTTGAAGTGTGAAATACTAAGTTCAAGTAGAAATTAACTGCTGATGTCAAAGTTAAGGTACTCTTACGGTCGATCAAAATTAAACCTTGTCTTAGAGATCCTAAAAGGTGAAACTGAAGTCAGAGATGGCTACTTTTGCTATTCGATTGACTCCGTTTATTGGGTGATTTTGAGATTGGTTAACGATATTTCAATGTCCAGACAGTTGAAATGCACTTGGAAAATCTTTCATGAATTTTCCTTTCTGTCTGAATCTGGAGCAGTACAAGAAGCATACTTTCCCACCTTCCAGCAATTTAGTTTGTAACTGAAAATGATACATCAGAGGGATGACACTTTTTGCTTCATGTTAAAGATATGAACTGCGGAATGTAAGTACTTACCGGGAGCCGGCGTCTGGTGCCGGAATGAAGAGGTGCTACCAGTGTTTGAAGGAGAGAAGCTGCTGTGTAGTGTATTTTGAAAGGAGGGGTTCGTGTGCAGTGTTGGAGATATATTTGGTCTAGGGAGATATACTCCTAATGTTAGTTTGAATGTGATTGACCAATTTAGTGTTAGAGGGTATGGTGCTACTCTCTTTATACAGATTTCTTTATTATCCCCTACTTTCTTTGGTCTAGGGAGATCTCTTTATACAGATTTGTTGGATAATGGAGGTCACAAAGATGGAACTACTTATAGATTTAGGCGCCATGGCCCCCTCGTTTTATAAAGATTTTCTTTCCAAAATTCCTCTGTTATAATTTTTAAAATTAATGCATGTCAAGGTTTGGACATTTACAATATTACAGTATTTTGCTACTTGCAGACTGTCAAGATACATAGTGGATATGGACATTTAACATGACATATATGGCTTTTGTCGGAATTTAGAAACTTGAAGAAAGATAGGAGCAGTTATAAGTTTCAAATCCCAAGACTGAAATTCAGAGTTTTTTAAAGAAAGAGCAAAAAGAATGTGTTGATGTGCTGGTTATTGCATTGTGAGGAACTTGGTCAAATATCTTGTTTGTACACTATTAATACGTTTTAGTCAAATCTGGCCATTGTTTTATAGTAACCTAGTAACTTTTAATATTATTTTTCTCTTTACAGCTTGGACGAGTGAACTTATCTTTCTTGATAGCATATTTTCCAAGTGAGAAAAAAGAGAGAGGAGAAATCGTCAAAGCACGAAGTATTACTTATCTACGAACATGTATAACAATCCATTAAGTCTTGACTACTGCCAAAGATTACATGTCCAGAACTAAACTTCTGCCATGTGTGTGAATTTTGCTGATCTATAAACGTGGCTGGGTTTAGATATTGAAGGATTCTTCATGAATTTATTTAATTTCTTTGACAATTTTTCTAAAGACAGGAGAAACTTTAATCTTTGTCAATTCTGTCTTCTCTTGAAGGTTTCGGAAGCGCATTGTGTAGAATTGCGGCAAGGAGAGAGCTATCTTTGGGATTACGTCAAATATCCTGTTCTTATTACAGAAATATATATTATCTTCTTTTCTTTCCTTTCAAGTTGTACCAATGTGATAATCCATGATGGACTAAGCTTATGCATGTCGATTTCGTTGATTGTCTTTTTTGCTTCCTTTTGGCCTTGTAAGCTTAACTTGCTTTTACCTAGCTGCTGTTATTCTAAAGCAGTTTATAAAGAAACACTGGCAGGAAGACGAGGAGGGTTTTGAGCATCCTGTTGTTTCAAGTGATGAAAAGGTCGCTCTTCCTGTTTCCCTTGTCCTTGGATTTCTGTTTCATCTGCTAAATGTTTTACAATTTTCTTAACAACATTATTGCCTCTTTGAAATTAAAATTTTAAGACATTTTGCGGATCTTTAATATATGGGATTAACTTAATGTCACTGTAATTAACCTTTTGCTCTTTTGGTTAGTTTGTGCTATTAAATGTAGAACCACTGATTAGTTTGTTCTGGATCATCATGATATATTCTCTAATTTTCTGTAGAGGCAGTTCGGGGTTTAGAATAAGACGAACAGAGCAGTACAGACAGAGTCTTTTCCGTTAGTTTGCACTGTCTACACCCCCTTCAGATGCCGTAGATGTTTTTGCATATTTGCACTGACTGCGCCCCCTTCTGATTCTTGTAGGGACCAATAATTGAGAGGCGACTGTAGGCTTTGTAGGTATCTTTCAGGTTAAGACCTTAAAAAATCGCTTTTTCTTCTTTCTTAAAAGGCATGTATGTTGTGCAATGCAGTTTTAACCTTTGAGAAAACTTGGCTTGAGTCTCTACTATTTTTGGTAGAAAGATAAAGATTGAGTGGGGTAACCTTTGCGATCATACCGTTTTCTTTTGTAGAACTTCAGGAACTATGGTAATCAATGTAATAACAACTTATGGTTGGAGTGTGAGAAAATCAAAGTTTAGATCGATATAACAGTAGGATATTTACTCAGTGTCATCTTGTTTATAAAAGTTATCGATTCAAAAAGGAAGAAACCTCTAGCTAGATTGAGAAAGAGATAGGGCTCATGCTTGAACCTAAAATGTATTGAAAATATTGATTTGGTGATATTCAGGATCGCAGTAAGTCAAACTTCCTTCCTGCATCACCTACTTTATGAGGATCTAGATCGTATAGTATCTTTGGGATTACATCTCAGGTGTTTAGGGAAGCTCTGTTTTTTCACTTTCTCTGTACAGATCCGTGGTGTAATTCTGTGAGTTTTATCAGGTAGCTATACGTGGCCTGCTGTTGCCGTTGCTCGATGATCCTCATAGAAAGATCTGCACGGCCATTGGTATGGCTGTGGCATCTATTGCCCATTATGATTGGCCAGAAGACTGGCCTGACCTTTTACCGTCACTAATGAAGTGTATCTCTGACCAAACAAACATGAATGCTGGTGAGTCATTTGCTTCACTTTATCATGAAGTTAAGGGATTGTAATCAACTTGTTTTGGTCATCTGAATTGTCATGCAACTTACTGGTTGGCACCCTTTTCTTTGCTGTTTGTAATAACCTTGTTTTAGTCATTTGAATTGTCATGCAACTTACTGGTTGGTACCCTTGTTTTGCTGACTGTTTAAAACTAATTTAGACGTGATGTTCAAATTGTGCAGTTCATGGAGCTTTGAGGTGCTTAGCTCTTGTATCGGCGGATTTGGATGATATGATGGTTCCAAAACTTGTTCCTGTTTTGTTTCCCTGCTTGCACGCAATTGTTTCATCACCTCAGGTTAATTTAGTTTACTGTGGCTTTCCTTTGGCTGTTCTTTGAAGTAGATATCTTAACATGAATTTGTAGAAGGAGATATCTTAAGTCTCTGACAAATGGTAGTGGTTAGTAATTTCTTTAATTCTTTTGCTTCTCTTGTGTCACCCAGAAAGCACTGCTCTTCAGGTTCCTCTGTTTTTGTGCAGATCTACGAGAAACCTCTGCGCATGAAGGCTCTTTCAATAGTTTATGCTTGTACCTCAATGCTGGGGGCTATGAGCGGTGTGTATAAGGTATTTTCGTTCTGCGAAAAATATTTGAAGCTTATAACATTGAGTTATTATATCATCATTGGTTATCCTTTGTGTTAAGACGGAGACGACTGCAATGATGTCACCTATGCTTCAATCTTGGATTAAACAATTCTCTTCTATTCTGGAACATCCAGTGCAATCTGAAGACCCTGATGATTGGAGCATCAGGATGGAGGTTGATTTTCTTTTTTTTTGTCAAAATTATATGATGCTGTATTTCATACTTTGTGTCATAGATTATAACTTCCCCTCGTTACGTATAGGTTATAAAGTGCTTGAATCAGTTCCTCCAGAACTTCCCAAGCCTCATGGAAAGTCAATTTAGGGGTTAGTATCCTCATCTATTCTCCTTTCTTTAGCCGAGGGTCTATCAGAAACAGTCTCTATGCCCTTCCAGGGTAGGGGTAAGGCTGCGTACATCCTACCCTCCCTAGACCCCACTTGTGGAATTACACTGTGTTGTTGTTGTTGTTGTTATCCTCATCTATTCTCCAGGACTAGGTTACTCCTTTATATTCTATGTTAAAGTGATATTGCCAAGCATAGATGGTAAAATATGCTGACATTTCTATCTATTATTTTTTGTTATCCTACTTCATTTCAGTTTTTATGGGGCCATTGTGGCAGTCATTTGTATCATCTCTAGGAGTGTATACACGATCATCGATCGAAGGAATAGAAGATCCTTATGATGGGAGATATGATTCTGATGGTGCAGAACAAAGTCTTGAATCATTCATCATCCAGGTAAAAGAGACCGAGCTCTGTTGTAATCTAATAATCACTAGTCAAAGCTCATTTAAATGATTTCTGGCTTCAGGGGAGGATTTAAACCTAATTTACCTAGTTTCTAAAATCGATCTAATATTATATGCTGGCACCCATGCTCCAAAGAAATTAAATGGTGCACTTGGTTGATTGTTGAGTTATTCACCTAAAGGAGCAAGGATCAATTCCCACTTACTACTTTTTTCCCTCCTTTCTTAAATGGTCCACCCATGTTATAGAAATCCTAGATCCACCTCTGTCTGGCTTTAGTAAAAACAAAAGTTTCAGACTTTTAGATTTCAGGCGCAACTTGTATCTGAACAATTTGAATTGTTAAGGTTATGTTCTTTGACTATGGAAAATTAAATCTTCTTTTTCCTCTTTCATATGTAAGCAGAACCGTAATTTGATCTTCAAATTATTTGTTTGATTCTTAAATTGGTGATTCTTATCTTGTGCTTTCTTTTGTTTTAGCTTTATCTAAATGAGTAAAACATTTTTTCTTGTGGTCTTGCAGTTGTTTGAGTTTCTATTGACTATTTTGGGCAGCCCCAAATTTGTAAAGGTGTGTTGCATAACTTTCTTTAGTTGTCTGTGCATTCTTATTTATAATAATGGTTGATGACGGTTCACAGTTGGAGATATCATTGTAGGTAGTGGGGAGCAATGTAAAGGAGTTGGTTTACTATACTATTGCCTTTATGCAGACAACAGATCAACAGGTAATAATAGTCTCCTTTTTCAAGCTATGATTGTGCAGATCTGGTTTATAATGGCGTAAAAGAACGAGAAAACACTTATCTTTAACTTATCTCGGCATGCTAAAAAAGAAATAATCATCAGTCAAAACCTCTGATCAAAGAATGCTTGAATAACCTTAACAAATTAGATGATTAACCTTTTAACGAGTGTATCTGAATTTTAAACATGCTAAGTTTTGGAGCTATTGTTTGTTATGGAAGTAGACGCTACTTACTGTGGGTTTTGTGGCCTTTTGGCTTCTAATTTCCAAACTGGGGGAGGTGGCGGAGATGGTGTGTCACTCACCCAAGAACAATGTGGTCATGGTGCCTGTGCATCCTAGAGTATTTCCCTTGTGATCCTCTTGGTATCTTATGCTTTGACTTAAAGATGCAATTTCTTTGTTTTATTGGTTATTTAAAACTTGGGGTTTGACTTGATTTCATGCTTTGTCTACATTGATTATGGAAAACTATTTAACAGCAATTAGAGGGGAAAAATATTGGTATGAGTTCTTTCAGTAGACAGTGGACATCTAAGTGAGGGGATGCTAACAGAGCACTTATAAAAGTTCTTTCTTCCTTACCAAGGTTGAATTAGGTTTTAGGACGTCACGATTACCAGTTTCTTGGTTGTCTTCTTTCTTATCCTCATCATGCTATCATTAAAAAAAATTGTGTTTGCATTTCATATGTTATTCATGTAATGAAGTTCTTGTTTTATTTTAGATGACCAACTACAAGGCTGTCTTATAGATTTTTATATATATATAGGTAGTCGAGCGTTTCCCGTTGTCTTCCTTAGTGCAATATTATTAGTGTTAGTATGGTATCACTTTTATCCTTAGTTTGCTAGTACCATATATCTTGTACTGCTATTACTTGCCATAAGTACTCCCTTAATTTGCTATCACTACATATCTTGCACTATTATTACTTGCTATCAGTACTTCTTTCATCTTTCTCTTTTGCTATCTTGGATTTAGTTTTCTAATTATCCTGTATTGTTGTTACTTGCTATCAATGCTTCTTCCATCTTTTCTCTAGCCGAGGGTCTACCGGAAACAATCTCTGCCCTTCCGGGGTAGGGGTAAGGCTGCGTACATCCTACCCTCCCCAGACCTCACTTGTGGGAATACACTGGGTGGTTGTTATTTGATAAATATACTCTATTCAGTATTCACTGAGACAACACCAAGTGCTGGTGATATGGTTGTCTTTCCAAAGTGTGTGGAGTTAAGGAAGTCATGAGTGTGTCGAAGTGATTTATATTATTCAAGTTGCACCAAAATGTTAAAGATTGTAAACATCTAAATTTAACAGACTCTTGCACTTCTGATCTGTTCCAAATTTTGTGAGCTGCTTCTTCATTCTCTGCACTCTCTAGCTAGTGACATTTTTTTTTTTTTTTTTTTTTTTTTTTGATAAGGTAAAAGTTTTATTCATAAGGTACCAAGATGGTACAAAAAGTTACAGAAAACACCCCAAAACAGCCATATCCTATAGGCCTCCTAGTAAATCCAGAAACTCTAAAAACTTTTGATGTTCCATTGATACACTACTTTTACACCAATAAAACAAGTCGTGAATACATTTGTTTCTAATTCTAAAAATGTGCTCCCTATGTCCTTCAAAACAAACCTTATCAAAAAAAAAATGTCCTTCAAAACAATCCCGGCTCCTTTCCAGCCATAAAGTCCAGAAGATGCATAATGGGATGGTTCTCCATATTTGCTTCAGTCTTCTAGGTACTCTTTGACTATGCCACTCTTCCAACAAGCTCCTAATAGTCGGTGGCATTACCCAAGAGATTCCACAGATGTTTAAGAATAAATCCCAGCATTGTCTAGCAATTCTACAATGAAGCAGAATATGATTCACTGATTCTTGATCTCCTTCACACAAATAGCATCTATTGCTAAGATTAAATCCTCTTTTTTGCAAATTGTCTTGTGTCAAACATGCTTCCCAAGATGCTATCCAACCAAAGCATGCCACCTTAGCTGCAGCTTTTGTCTTCCATATCATCTTCCATGGCCAATTATTAACCCTGTTTCTTGACTGCTTAATCAGCATATTGTAACAACTTCTGACTGAAAACTTTTTATCCTTTTCTTCTGCCCAGATCAGTGCATCCATCTTACTATGATTAATTGAGACCGAGTCAAGCTGCTGAAGTAAGAAACAATAGTCTTCTATCTCCCAATCGTTCAGGTTTCTTCTGAGCTCCACTTGCCAACCTGATCCTGTGAAAAAATCAGCAATCACACCTCCTTTATTAAGGGAGTAATTGAATAGAGAAGGATACTTAGATTTCAAGCATTCCTCCCCTATCCATAAATCTGTCCAGAATCTAATTCTTTGTCCATTCCCAACTTCCAGCTTTGTATATTTCAGAAATTCTTCCCAAAGTTTACTAATACACTTCCAGATACCTCCTTTTGCATTCAAATGTAAAGAGGAAGGTCTCCAATCAGTCTTGATTCCATAAATAGCACTGATCAGCTTCTTCCATACCTTATCCCCTTCATGAGTAAATCTCCATAACCATTTAAAAAGTAGGCTCTTATTGCGGGCTTTCAAATTCCTTATCCCCAAACCACCCCCTTCTTTATCATTTAACACCACTTGCCATTTGACTAAATGCATTTTCTTTTTAGTAGCATTGCCATCCCATAGAAAATTATTCCTCACGGTGTTTATCTTTTTCTCCACTGCTACAGGTATAGCAAAGAGGGACATCAAGTAGGTTGGCATTCCATCTAACACACTTTTTATCAATGTGACTCTACCTCCCATAGATAAATATTGCTTCTTCCAGGGAACCAACTTATTTGCACATCTATCCAAAACCCCTTGCCACATGTTCTGATCATTTTTTCTAGCACCCAGAGGTAGCCCAAGATATACTGTTGGAAATCTCTCAACCTTACAACCCAAGATAGCAGCCAACTTCTCAACTGTATCATCAGCATTAATGCTAAATAGACTACTTTTGGCCAGATTAGTTCTTAATCCAGTCACTGCTTCAAAAACTTGCAGAACTCCTTTTAGGTATAGAATTTGCTCTTTCTCTGCTTCACAAAAGAGAAGGGTGTCATCAACATATAAAATATGAGAAACTGTGACTCTATTATCACCAAATCTGCCAAAATGCATCCCTTTAATCCATCCCAATTTTTCTGCCTTCATTAACATCCTACTAAAAACTTCCATCACCAAAGTGAACAAATATGGGGACAAAGGGTCCCCTTGTCTCAAACCCCTTTGAGATCTAAAATAACCCTGGGGATTTCCATTTATTAACACAGAAAAACTCGCGTTAGATACACAGTACTTGATCCAGTCAATCCATCTGTCTCCAAAGTTCATTTGCCTTAGAATATTTAACAGACAAGACCAATTCACATGGTCATAAGCTTTCTCAAGATCCAATTTGCAAGCAACACCTCTTTTCTCCATTCTCAACAGATAATCAACACTCTCATTAGCAATCATAGCAGCATCTATTATTTGCCTGCCCTTAATAAATGCATTCTGGCTATTTGATACTACTTTATCAATTACCAATTTAAGTCTTTCTGCCAGCAGTTTTGCAATGATCTTATATACACTTCCCAACAGACTAATAGGTCTAAAATCTTTCACCTCTATAGCTCCCTTTTTCTTGGGGATCAATGCAATGAAAGTAGAATTCATACTTCTGATAAAGGAACCTTTTTTATAAAAAGCCTCCACAGTTTGCCACACATCATTCTTAACTGTATTCCAGCACTTTTGGAAGAAATAAAGATTGAAGCCATCAGGTCCTGGTGCTTTATCTCCTCTGAATGATTTAATAACATTTTCCAACTCTTCTATAGAAAAAGGTCTCTGCAGCCACTCCTTGTCATCATCAGAAAGAGTCATCAAAGTATCATCTTCCCATCTTGGCCTCCATTCTTCAGTTTCGTTGAACAATTTCTCATAGAATTTCTGAATATGTGATTTGATTCTGTTATCATCATCCACCAACTCTCCATCAATTTCTATCTTGTCAATACAATTGAATCTCTTATGGGCATTGGCTTGTCTCTGAAAAAACTTAGTGTTTTTATCCCCTTGCTTAAGCCATATGCATCTGGACTTTTGTCTCCATGAGATCTCCTCAGCTTTTGCCAATTCCTCCAGCTCCATCATGATAGAATTTCTTTCTGAATCATTTTCATCATCCTGATCAAATCCCATACCGTGATCAATTTCTTCCAGTCTGGCCAATGCCTTATCTTTCCTATCCTCCAATTTACCAAAAACCTCTTTATTCCATTTTTTTAAATCACCTTTCAAAAGTCTAAATTTCTTTGCAAGAACAACATCAGGATCACCTTGAAGATTGTAAGATTTCCACCAGTTGTCAATTAGTTCTAAGAACCCTTTATGCTCCATCCACATATTTTCAAATTTAAAGTACCCTTTTCCTTTTCTCCAGTGTCCACATTCTAATAAAATTGGGCAATGATCTGAAGTAGTTCTAGGAAGAACCCTCTGTTTTACAAATTTAAAATGTTCATCCCAATCTTCAGATAATAAGAATCTGTCAATCCTGGAAGCACTCTGACTGTTTTTCCCTCTAAACCAAGTATAAGAACCTCCATGAAGTGGGAGATCAATCAAAGAGAGATCATGAATAAATTTTGAGAACTCTCATAGCTCTTGTGTTCTTGGCTCTTCCCCTCTTCTCCTCTTCAAACCTAATTACATTAAAATCTCCCCCCACTGCCCACAGTTGTGCCATAATTCCATTAATTGCAGCCAGTTCCTTCCATAAGCCTTTCCTTTCTTTCCTATCACAAGGACCATAAACTCCCGTAAAAGCATATTGGTATCCAGATTTTTCTTCTTCTAGTAAGATTGTGACCGAATGTTGACCCTTAATGTGCTCCAAACATTTCCATCTTCTTTTATCCCAGAATATAACAATCCCACCACTGTTACCCTGTGCTTCCATTTCAATCCACTCAGTCCACCTTGATCCACCAATCAGTCTGATGCAATCTAGATTTATCTTTTTCATTTTTGTTTCTGTCAAGCACACAATATCAGCCTTCCATTTACCTAACACTAATTTGACCAGCTCTTTTTTTTCTAACTTGTTAACACCCCTCACATTCCAACATATTATTTTCAAATTCATAGATCAACTGGAAATGCTCTCCTTCCCTTTCCTCTCCCCCCTTTAGATGTATCGCCTCCAAAGCCCACTCCAAACTCTAGTAATTTCAGTTCCCTTTCACATTTTTTGCTGGGAGAAACAGTACTCACTGAAGCAGATGAAGAAGATTTTTTTGGTCTTTCACTATCGATCCTCATAAGGAGCTCCATAAGCTTTTCCCCAATGTCTTCTGTCTTTATCCCCAATTGCTTGCTAATTTTTGTCATGTTTCTTTTTACCCAGACCGATGCTTGCAATTGCATTAACTTCTGCTTGATATTCAACGCCTGATTCTCATACCATGGCAACATCAAAATATCCTGGGCTTCATCAACTTCTGCTTCTTCTTCAACTTCCAGTCTCTCTTCATAGTTAAGCAAAGCTTCGTCAATTTCTTGTTCGCTATTGGAAAAATTATTCTTCAGATTCTCCACCATATCTCCATTGATGCTTGGGGTATTTTCCTCAGGTAGAAGATTCCCCAGATTCTTATCTTCTTTCCTCTCTGAGTTGCTTACCATTTCAATTGCCCAGAATCTCTCGTTTGGGTCTTCTTCTTGCTGAATATCTTCCATGACCTTCCTATCTGGAGAAAATGTTTTTGTTTTTATCGCCTCAACTTCAACAACTAAAGGGTCGAAGGAATTGGATAATTCTAGATCTCCCGCATTAAAAAGGGGTTTTGGATACATGGGTCGACCACTTTTACTCTATAACAAACTTTCTGGCCCATTTTTTTCTGATTAAAACCCTCTTTTGGGTCTGAATTTTGTTTTGAAATATAAGAGCCCTTCAGCCCGTTATTGTAACCTGCCTTGTTTGCATTAGAAATATTTGAGGGCCCACATTTATTAAATAACACCTGATTCTTCCCTTTAATCGACGCGTGGCCCATCCCCAAACTCGAATTTAAGTTATTAAAAATTCTTGGCACACGTATCTCACGCGCCTCCGATCTCATAATTTCCGTTGCCTTGGAACTCGAAGGTGCTATTTGTCTCTCATTAATGAGACTCTTCGAGTTCTGAGAAACTTTCCGATGATCTTCTCCTCTTCTCCGATCACCTTCTCGGTCACTTTTCCAGCCAACTTCCTCCACCCAAGAAATTGATTCGACCCATAAAGGTACTTTGAAGTTAAGGTTTTCTACAATCAGTTCTATTGATGCCGGAAAAGATGTATCGGAGTTTTTTACGCATATCCTCGCCCATCTCAGATGTCTTCTAATTCTTGGTATTACCCACTGCACCTTCAGAGGGATGAAGGAACAGGCTCCATGTCTGCCAAACTGCAGGAGATATATATAAGGTTCAGTATATATGGCAGCTTGTTTTTCAGTCGTGCTGATTATTAATAGCAGGATTTTGTGTCTGCTTTCAACTCTGCAGTATTTTTATTTTTACTAATCTCCCTTCACATGGAATCAATGCATCTACTTCTATGTTTGCTATTTTTTTCCACCTTCTGTGTTTGCTATTTGATCACAACTTTTTATTTGTTTTTATATGCCTTATTTAATTATAGCTACAAAAAAAGTTTCCATATGCCGTCTGTGTTTATCTTGTCTTTCGATTTGGATCGCAGATTCACACCTGGTCTATTGATGCCAATCAATATGTTGCTGATGAGGATGATAATACTTACAGCTGTCGTGCTTCTGGTAAGTGGTTTCTAGGTGCTAACTTTCCCCCCTTTTTCACACACCCCTGAGGTCTCTCTGTTTCTCTCTTTGTGTGGGTAGGAAGTACAATTTATTTCACACTTAGGATCATTAACATAGTATTGCATCAAGGGTAACTATTGTCAGACACATGAGATTTTATTTAGAAGGTTTAGTGTTTTAGTGTGTTTGGGTAGGTAATTGTGTTTTATGTTATCCAAACATATCGTTTACTTTTCATCTTTGAATGGTATTTTTTGCCATCATATTCTTGTACTTAGTTAAAGGTTAAATAATGTCATCAGTTCACAGCTTTATGCAAAGCACAGTTAACCACAAGAAGTACATGGATGTACAATGCGAACTTATTTAATTCATGAACTCTAGCAGCTGCTTCCCCATGAGAGACTGGTTTATCTCTCTTAGTGTTTCAGTGGTCTGGTACGCAAGGTTGAATATTATGATGCTAATTTACTGACTAATATATGAGTATATGACAATATTTTTAAGTGGTTGAGGGTTTGACTTTTCCTACCCTCAAGACCAAATTTGTGCTAGTGATGTAAAGCAGGCCAGTTTCACTTTCCTCGACGAGGAGGTTTCTCATTTCAATGTCGACCGTTTGCATATAGAAAACTTAAGGATCAGATATTCAGATTTAAGTTGTTTTCTTGTATTAAAGTTAGAAAATTTAAGCTCATGCTAACAAATAAAAAAAGGAATTTTGGGGGTTGTTTTCTCAGTTTTGGGCACCTTAACTGCTGGCTGTGCTTTCTTTCTTCTTGATTTTGATCTAGTGCAATTTGATTGTTGAGTTTCAGGCCTCTTATGCCAACTCTACGCATGATGTATCTATGCAGTCGGATTGCTGTATTCTGTACTTTACTTGATATGAAACACTCATTCCAGGTGCCCTTTTGCTGGAAGAAGTCATTAGTTCTTGTGGTACACAGGGAATTCATGCTATCATTGACTCAGCGAAGGCGCGATTTAGTGAGTCTCAGCAAGAAAAAGCATCTGGTGCTTCGGGCTGGTGGAAAGTAAGTGGAAAAGACTATGTTTTGACAGCTTTGATGCTAATTAGCTAATTCAACTGTATTCTCAATGCTCTATGCTATACATGGTCTTTGGTATGGGTATTATATATGTGAATGCCTCTAGCATGAGTATGCTCTACTTCCAGCCTGAGTTTTGAAAGATCCATCATAAGTAACTTAAGGTAAATGAAGAATCTAGTTGAGGAGTAATAATGTAAAGAAGTAATCTGACAAGCAATTTAGGATCAGCAACCTTCTGTCGAACTGTGAATAGTACTCTAACTTGCTCATTGTGATCTATTTTTAATTACAACATCAGTCATATAATTTGCATTTTATGAACGAAAAGTTTGAAGTCTTATAATCTATTGGTTGATCTTGTTTAGTAAAGTCAAATGATTTCATCCATAGTACACCAAGATAGTCTCTAGAAGTATATTAAAATATGGGTGTGGGGTTTTATTCTATCAGACCTATTCAACTGTTACAAAATGAAAAATGTCTTTACACCAGATATGTGATTCAAGAAAAATGACCTTTCTTTACTCCCCGTATCCTGCTCAATACAACACCTCCTAATACTCTCATTGTGTAATTTCTAGAAAAGACACGGCGGAGTTGTCTCCCAAATTCTTTTCCTATTCTCTGTACCCTTCAGTACACAATTGGCAACATTGTCCTCATGCATACCCAACTAATGAGAGAACAGGGTTCAGAGAGTAGCAATCCTGCATTGTAGTGAGAGATGATCTGTATCCTCGCCACTCTTGTTACACATCAATGGCACCATCTCACCACAATCCTTCTTAATTCCCTAAGATTGTCAGCAGCAAGAATTGCGTTCCATACTGCACACGATATGGAAAATATTGGTTTTTAATGCTCCATATTCCTCCTGCTAAACCAATATAAGCATTTTACGAGTAACACTCTTGCACGATGCCCCCTGATTCTCTTACTTTTGGCAGATGAGGGAGGCCACACTTTTTGCTTTGGCTTCAGTGTCTGAACAATTACTTGAAGCTGAGGTTCGTGTTACTTATAATACTTTAAATGGTGATTTCCTGACTTTCTGCTTGTTAACTTAAAAAATAAAAGAGAGTTCTGTGGCTGAAAGATTCATGTTGCTGTGTATATTGTAGTAATTACTTATTTGTTGGATTTTCCTCTCAGGTCCCTGAAATCACTAAAGTCAGTTTAGGAAATACTTTAGAACAAATTCTTTCAGAAGACATGGCAACAGGTAAATCTGGTTTTGTAGATCAAATTGAATTTTAGGTTACATGGTATGGAGATACATGTGTGAGGTTTGCTGGTTTGCTGTATTGGATATAGTATAGATGCGCACTAAGGTAGATGTTGAGATATCTCTAATAAAATAGTGCTCTCGTGGTATTTGCAGGGGTAAATGAATATCCCTTCTTATATGCCCGTATGTTCTCTTCCATTGCTAAGTTCTCCTCCATGGTAATTATCTTTGTAATTCCCATCAACATAGTTAAGACTTTATCTTTTCTTTTGCTATGCAACTATATGGCTCACAATTAACTTGTTTGTTCAGGTCAGCCAGGGTCTAATTGAACACTTCCTATATGCAGCCATCAAGGCACTTAGCATGGATATGTGAGAACCTAATTTAGTACTTAATTCTTCTATCAATGAAAAATAAAGAACTTGGTTATTAATGATGATTAACTACATATAGGCCTCCACCTGTAAAAGTAGGGGCATGTAGAGCACTTTCTCAACTTTTACCTGATACAAATAAAGAGGTTCTCCGTCCTCATTTCTTGGATTTATTTTCATCACTCACAGATCTTCTTAAGCATGTAAGTAACTATGAAAGTAAACTTCCTCCTTATTGTCTATTTTTTCCTCACTGTTGTTGAAGCTAAGGTTGAGTGTCTGCTCCACAGGCTTCTGATGAAACTATGCATCTAGTGCTTGAAACACTGCAGGAGACTGTAAAAGCAGGTTAGAAGAATATACGACAGTATGAGTTCAACTTAGCACGCAGTATTGCTTTGGAGTTTAAAAACTTTTTAGTGGAGTATCCTCCTAAAATTTTCGAAGCTCTCTTTGTGTGAAGTTTCTAACATATTTTTGCTTTTGTAGGCCCTGAGTTCGCAGTATCTACTGAGCCAGTTCTCTCTCCTATTATCCTGAATATGTGGGCTTCGAATGTTGTGGACCCTTTCGTCAGCATTGATGCTCTTGAGGTTCTGGAGGTAGTAATTGAAAGGCTTTTCTTTGATTACAAAAATCTAATGTAACAATGTTATATGTTCTTCACCAGAAAATTGAAATTGGCATGTTACTGTATGCGTGATACAGTTTATAGATGGGAGCTCACTGTCAGCTAGGTTAATTTTAGATGACAGGCAACAACAACAACAACAACCCAGTAAAATCCCACTAATGGGGTCTGGGGAGGGTAGTGTGTACGCAGACCTTATCCCTACCCCGAAGGAGTAGAGAGGCTGTTTCCGAAAGACCCTCGGCTCAAAAAAACAAAAAGACAAAAGGGGCAAAAAGAGAGACAATATTAGTATCACAACAACAATCATAGGATAATCTTTGGATAATTTTAGATGACAGGCTGAACTGTTAAAGTCACCCAGTGTCTTAGTGTGCTAGTTAAATCTTTGGTATTGCTCTAGCAAAGTCTCCTCTCAATTTTAGCCAAAAATTGGATTGGTAGTCGATTGATGTTCGATCAAAACGGAACATCGACAAGTAGTACCGTTCCTGTTTCTGCTTCCATATGATTTTGATTGGCAGGTGTAAGAAAATAAAACTATCATGCAATGTCGCGCCAAAACCAGGAGAACTTGGACTATTAACTGCATTTGTAAAAGTTATTTCTGTCTTTGAACCTATCTCCTTTCCTTGGGCTCAGGTTAATGAGCAACATATGTTTGTGGTTTGAAGTAACTGGACATCCATAATGAGCCTTTATATGTGTGTGTGTGTGATTATGTTATATATAATGTTTTCCTTTCAGATGAATTCTCACTTTTCATACAGTTATCTTATTGAATTTAAAGATTTCTGTTCTGTGACGTAGTTTGCTCAAGTACTTTTAGTTATATTTATCTTCTCTTATAATGTAAATTGACCTCCAATTTCCCTTTTGCTTGCAGGCAATAAAAAATGCTCCCGGTTGTATGCACCCACTGGTTTCTCGAGTTTTACCTTATATTGGGCCCATTCTAAATAAAGTATGCATGTGTTTTTAGGAATTAGATTATTACAGAAAGTTTGTATTAGTTATAGTGTCTGATTGTTGTCGGCATCTTTCAGCCACATCAGCAGCCAGAGGGTTTAGTTGCTGGTTCACTAGATCTCGTGACGATGTTGTTGAAGGTGATGTTCCACGTAAAATAAGGATCTCTGTGAATACCATCTTAATGTAAATTCTATATTTCCTTTTTGACTGGAAGATATTCTGTTATAAAGGTTCTTATATATCAATTATGTTTTTATTTCAGAATGCCCCAACTCACATTGTAAAGGCGGTGTATGAAGTCTCTTTTGATCCTGTTGTTCGTATAGTCCTTCAAAGTGATGATCATAGTGAAATGCAGGTTACATTTTTGGACTTTGTTTTCTACTTGGCAATCGATCCTAACATTCACTTCTGTTAGGATCACTTACTTTGCTCAGAAGTTAGAAGTAACCTATTGGTGTTTGTTTGAGTCCAGAATGCAACACAGTGCTTAGCTGCTCTTATATCCGGGGGGAAAGAAGAATTGCTTGCTTGGGGAGGTGATACTGCATTCGCGATGAGAAGTTTGCTTGATGTGGCGTCAAGGTGGGGTTCTCATTCTTCCTTTTTTCATGAGCCTTATTAAACCGTTGAATTTCAAGTTGTCTGGTTATCATGCTTCATTTTGTAATATGGGGCTGGTAGAGCTCATCGGCCACTTGCCATCATCTTTTTTTGCTCAATGAATCTCTTCGATTTTCCTCTTTAACATGATGTATAGATGTCATATCAAGATACATACATAACATAAGTTGATTAATCTGTTTAGGACTATGCGACTTTGCTGTTATAAGTGGAATGCCCGAAGGATAGGAATGAAAAAAAAGATTAGAAGGTGAAAGCTGAAATCTTTTAGATTGCTGTAATACTTTTACCGTAAACGTTTAAATGTATGGGAGCTTTATGCTTCTCATGTGCTCTTTCTTTCTTCTGTGGTAGGGGTGTGGCTCTGGGAGGGGTACAACCCGATGGTAAGAAGTTAACCACATCTATACTGCTCTTGAGTATTAGTTTCTTCAGGTATTGGGAACCTGAGGCATCTATAATTGCTACATAAGTTAGAAGATCAGCTAGAAGGGATCATATTGAGCTTGTCCTGCTTTAACTTCCACTCTGTTTATTCATGATTAACTTGAAGAAATTGCTTGTGGTTTGAATATGTTGCTTTAGGCTTGTTTCTCAAGTTAAAAAATTGAAAAATGAGGGCTGCAGAATCATAGACATATCTACGATGTGGCTTGAATGATTGATTGTTTATGATCTTGCATGCAGGCTTCTGGATCCTGATTTAGAAAGTTCTGGAGCACTTTTTGTTGGGAGCTATATCCTTCAACTTATTCTGCATCTCCCTTCACAAATGGCCCAACATATCAGAGACCTGGTTGCTGCACTTGTGAGGCGCATGCAATCTTGTAAAATTTCTGGGTTAAGAAGCTCTTTGTTGGTTATTTTTGCCAGATTGGTATGATTTTCTCGTCCTTATTTGAGGATCTGTCTATACATTTTTGGCTGGTAACTGCTGATTTATGTAGTCTCGTTTCGGTCGCACAATGAATTAAATTTGCATATATAGACATGCCACTTTCTGGTGGTAAATGTTAAAGGAAGTAAGGAGTAGAACTATATTTGGGATGCTTTAGGATCTGAACCAAAACAAAATTGTTTTTCTCTTTTCGTTTTTTCTAGAAACTGAAATTTAAGTAATCGTTTGCCAGCATATCTTCTGACAACAATCACATATTACGATGTCTCTGCTGTTGCTTTGCTTTTAAATTAGTGATTTGATAAACAAGATGTAAAATATCTTTCCTTTACAGAATTATCTGTAAGTTTTTCGGTAATGAATTGGAGATCTTGGTGTTTTAATTGCCTTTTCTCATAGTACTTGATGCTTCCCTATGGCTATGTAGGTCCACATGAGTGCTCCTCGCGTTGAGCAATTTATTGAGTTGTTGGTCTCAATTCCAGCGGAAGGTCATCCTAACTCCCTCGCTTACTTAATGTTTGAGTGGACAAAGCAGCAAGGCAAGTATACAGGCTTGTTAGTCCTTCAGTGGCATTATGCAGAAACGTTTAACTGCATTGTTTTGAGCATATTATTGAGTTTTTGTTCTACTTGCTTCATCTCTCTTGTAGTTTGCTTAGGGAGTTGTGCATCATGAGCTACATCTTGACAGCTGCTTGTATATTTACTCTGTACTAAAAAAACATGCTAATATTCAGGGGAAATTCAGGGGGCTTACCAAATTAAAGTCACCACCACTGCCTTGGCTTTACTATTATCTACAAAGCATGTTGAATTGGGGAAACTGAATGTTCAAGGCCATCTAATTCAGGTTGGTTATACTTGTTGATTCTTCCGCAAGCAGAGTCCAACAATGACTTAAAATTCATTTTGTGGGTATTTCGAAGTCTACTGCAGGGATAACTACACGCTCAAAAGCTAAGATAGCTCCAGATCAATGGACGTTGGTGCCTCTTCCTGGAAAGGTATTTTTACTGTTCCCAATATGATGGTTTCAAAAATTGATGTCAGCCTGTGTATTTGTTTTTTGTATTTTATGGCACACTGGCCATGAAATATATGCCAACAAACTCATTCATGGGTTGACGATTCTTGCTCGCCAGTGAGTGATAAATTGATCTCTTTACCAGTCTTTGTGTTTTCATCTGTGTTTCAGCATTTGTTTGAGACTTTTTTGATGCATTTTTTTAAATCAAAGTGTGTTTTTATTGGCTGATATGTAATTTAACATTCTTGAGTAGTAGCATTATCTATTTTTTCTAACAGAACTTATGTTTATGGACTTGATAGATTCTTGCTTCATTAGCGGACACCTTAATTGAAATTCAAGAGCAAGTTTTAGTTGGCGGCGATGAGGTAATTATAGTCCTTAAAGCACTGTATAAAGACAAGTCTATAGGTTTTCTAAATCTTGCACAAAATCCGTGATGCCAGGATAGTGACTGGGAGGAAGTTCAAGAAGGAGATGTTGAGACAGATGAAGCTGTACTTTTATCAAGTAGTGTCATACCTCGTGGTAGACCATCCTATGATTACCTTGACGCGATGGCCAAGGCTTTCGACGAGGTTTTTGTTAAATGCTGCTATTCTTTCTTTATCTCCATCTGTCCATCCATCAATTTCCTTAAAAATTTGGTCATCATATTTTAACCCTTAACTTGTTTTACTAGGACGGGGATGATGGAGACGATGATGACCTTCTTAGTGGCGCCGACCCCCTTAATGAGGTATTTGTTTAGAAAAAAATACATCATATCTGAATGCTATCATTCCTTCAGAGAGTATCAACTGACCATCAATTCAATTGCGTCTGCAGATTAATCTGGTGAATTATATAGTAGATTTTCTCAAGAAGTTTGCTCATAGTGATGGAGCAATTTTTAGTCATCTTTTACAGGTCCATTCCAACTCTTAAGTGACTCAATCGAATATATAAGTAAAATATATAAGTAAAATATTACACTTTGAACCTTTATTATGGTTTTAACATCTGTTATTACCAGAGTTTGACGAAAGCTCAAAAAGATGCAATTCAAATGGTGCTGAAGCAATGAGGATTTTGTTGTTGTACAAAAGGTGAGGACAATGTTCATTTGTGAAAATTTCTGGTTTGGCCTACAAAGTTTTTATTCTTTTCCCCAAAATTGGCTCTGGGTGAGAGTGGCTGTGAGCTTGTAAAGCGCGAAATTTCATAAGTTTTTTAATTATTTATTGTTTTCCTTATATTAAAACGCGTAATGTAATGTAGCAGTTTGTAGCTTCATATCTGTGTGTCAATCGTAAAACTGCATTATGTGATTCATTCTTTTATTCCAGATAACATTTCCCTTGCTTCAAATTTCCGCATTATTTTCATCTTATTTGATAGAAAAAGTTCTGGTTGTATTCTGTAGCAATTGATTAATATGATATTTGTGAAAGCAGCAGCCTTTTGTGTTTTACTTCTCTTTTGATAAAATCATTGATAGGGAGAACTGATGTAGCATTCCAATTAAGTGAAAGTATAATGGGTGCTAATCAGACTAATATTTTTGTGGACATGATTGTAGAGGAATTTGTTCACACGTTCTCTCTCCAATTTTCTTGACAAACATTTAGTGAGTTGTTCGAGTGTCTGCTCATCGCTTGGGCCTGTGCGTGAGATTTCTTCGGGGGAAATTACATTGTATAGTCGCTCTCAAAATAATAGTCGAAAAATGTATATTTTTTTGTGTATATATATACACTGTATGTTAAAAATATACTTAAATTTTATACACTTTCGGCTGCAGAATGTAAATAGTTTTTGGCGCGGGTTAAGAGTGAAGAAAAGCCCATTTCTTTTCATTGTAGTCACCTCAGCGAGATACATTTTGTAAATTTCAAATGAAAACGGTAAGAGTATTCCTTTTCTAAAATTTAGTTCTCACAATTCAAAATTATATCAAAACACTAAATGATAGGCGGTTCACTAAATTTGAAATATACATGCATGGTTTCCTTTAAAAGAAAATATCCTCCATGGTATAAAAGAGTGGATTTAATTCATATCATTGATAATGTAGAGATTTATACTATCAATGTAATTTAAATTGTTGTAATAGCTAATTTATCGTATTTTTTAGTTTATTCCACGATTTTTAAGAGATAGTTACTTGTAGTTATTTTTTAGGTTATGTAACATTGGATATAACTATTAAAATAGTAATTGTAATGAGAAGTCCTACGGGAAATTGCAAGTAAAATATGGGAGGAGGTAGGCGTTGATTCTACCTTAAGAATATTCGAACTATAACAGTTCCAATTAATAAAAAGTGAAAAACATTTTGAAGCTAATTTAGAAAGAAAAGTAAGACGTATTTGAGATTACCATTATGACTTCCTAGCTGACTATAATGACTACTAAGGGTGTACATGAATTAGGTTGGTTCGGGTATTTTAATTATCAAACCAAGCTAATGGTGTAGGATTTTTAAATTTATAAACTAAACCAAACCAATAAAGTCGAGGTTTTCAATCTCGTTTTTTATTTGGTTTTTCGGGTTTTCGGATTTTTTTCCGGTAAAGTCTTCATAGCACAAAATATGTAACTTGTGCTCCAAATATTTATTTTAGTCCTAATAGGATACAACTATATAATGTATTTTTAAAGAAAATAAAATAATAATAATATGAGATGAGTCATAGCATTGTACTAAAATATTCAATAACAAAGATAATAAAATCGCACAAAAAAATATTACTAATTAATTCACCATAACAAAAATTTACATAATCTAAAAATACTATATAGGTCATGCTAAAATACGTACAATTCACCATAATAAAAATTTACATAATCTAAAAATACTATATAAGTCATGCTAAAATACATACAACTAATAAGTACTATTAATTACATAATTAAGCATTAAAGAAAAAGATAAACTAGGTTATACATTTTTATTATAAACCAATACAAAACTAAAAAATAGATATCCAACACATTTGTCATTCCTAGTGTTGAATTGAATTTTCTTTATAAACATTAGTATTGATTTGAACTTTAATTGACTTACTACCTTTATGGACTATAAAATTATTGGACCATTAAAGAATGTTAAGTCCAAACTTTAAATAATACGTTTACAGATAAAACTGTGAACAAGTTTAAGAAATGTTTATAAATTATAATAAATATTTATATATATAAAATATTTTTAAAAATTGTATAAATGTAATGTCGGGTTGGTTTGGTTTCGGTTTGAATTTTTTTTAGTTAAAACCAAACCAAACCAATTATGGTCAGTTTTTTTTTTTCCAACACCAAACTAAACTACAATCGGATTTTTTTTCCCGGTTTGACTTGGATTATCGGATTGGTGCGGTTTATCGATTTTATCTGTACACCCCTAATGACTACTATTCTCAATCCTTTTTCCTAAGTGTAAACTTTATTTTATTTTATTACCTATAAAGTGGAAAAAGAAATTAAATTTTTTTGACTCACTTAAAGCAATGCCATAAATTTGAAACAACTCCATTGAATTGAAAGCCAAAAATTTATTAAAATAATAAAATATTCCACACTTGACTATTACAAACTTGCTTCTAAAGTGGTGGCTGAGAGACGGCTATGGAATTAGCACGTATGCGACTCAGTTCTTCCTTTCTAAAAAAATATTTTTACAATGTCCTTCTTGGAAAATTCTACGAATTTATTATCTATTCTGGTTTTTTTCCTTCAAACTTCCATATCTCACTTTGAAAAGAAATACTGATCACATATTATGCTTGTTTTAGACATAAGTATTATTGTTTCTACTGAAATTACAAAGTCCTGATTGGCTGATTAAACATGTCAAAATTATGTGTATTGTTGATTCAAAGGTTAGATGAAAAATAGGTAACATCCCTTCATCATTAACTAAAAGTTTCGAGTCATGAGAATAACAAAAATTCTGGGAGTGCTTTCCCATTTAATGAGCCTTACATGACACCAATCCGGATTAGTTGAGTGATCACAACGAGGTGAAACCACTCTTTTAGTGGCGAATCTAGAATAAAAATTTGATATTTTTGACGTAAGATAATTCATAGCATTAGACTCATTGCACTTCTACAATTATCTGTTTATATTAAATATTTATTAAAATTTTAATGGGTTCTTATATATGAATATATGTTCTATATCGGCATCTCCTCCATAATAATCATGCCGAATGAAGCGTTCTTGGTTTTGAGTTGGTATATGAATGGACAAACTCTTTGGGTCGTAATAATGCATACGGAAGATTTATAGAGCTAGCGATGCGTTAAAAATACTGAATTCTGATAAACCCATTGCGAATATACCGAGTCCACCCCGGACTTTCCTTGTCTCTTGCCATGATAAGGTGGTAATATAGGCATCGACGCCAGAAAAATAAGTTTAGGGGCGTAATACAAACAACATAATATAGTTATTATCATCCAAAAAAGGTAAAAGTATGTATCAAATAGTTTTCAATAAATTTCTAGGATTTCACAGAATTGAGTGGTCAAACTTTGGTCAGAAGAAACCAAATTTGAATTGAAAATATAAAGATTAGAGAGTGAATATACCAGTAATTAGTTACCACTAAATGGTTCAAAAGGAATATTATTTGATACATGGCATATCTACAAATAAACTGATTTTTTCTTCATCATCATCATTAATTAAGTTTATCATTGCCATATAATTTACAAGAGATGCATGAAAATGGAAATGATAAGAACTATAATGTTCATCTTCCTTCTACCATAATCATGCAAACATTTTATTTATCGTAGCCACCATTGATAATGATCTATCGACCTCGTCCCTGAGACGAAATCGAATGAAATAACCTCTTGATGCAAATTAGCAATGAGAGGAGGTGGCAGCTTGAGATGGTTTCTACATAACGGACACGTCATACGTCCCTTACCAACCCACCTATCTAAACAAACCCTATGAAAAAGATGATCACATCTTAACCTTCTCCTCCTTCTTCAATCTTGGACAAACAAATTGCACATTCTACTGAACCCGAAGACTCTGATTCGGGTTCATAATGCATAACTTTAAGCTCATGATCCTGATCCTGATCCTGATCATGAGCATTTCGAGAAATGGAACTAAGATTATAAGGATGAGAAAAAGATTGCCGCGACCCAAAAATCCTACCGCAGGCGTCGTGATGTCACTTAGTCTCTAAGATTAAGTAAGCCGATTATAATCATAATTCAAACTATTTTTTTGATAAAGATATAATTTAATACACGTGTCGAAATCAACAGCGAAAATAATTTTAAAAACCTCCCAAGACTGGTAATACTGAGTCACGAACTCTAACTGAATATATGGGATTATCTCGAGGATCAAATATATAGTACTGATCGAATAAGAAATTAACAGTACAATAAAATGGAAAGACTCCAAGGGATTGCGATGACCAAGCAGTCCTACCTTGAATCCTTGCAATCATACTCTAATCTCTGTCCGAATCCGATATCTTTATTATCTGGCTCTGCACAAAATGTGCAGAAGTGTAGTATGAGTACACCACGGTCGGTACCTAGTAAGTATCAAGACTAACCTCAGTGGAGTAGTGACGAGGTACAGTCAAGACACCCACTAGTCAAATAATTTATGCAATATAGCATACCAATTAATATATTTCGAATATACTTCCTTCAAATAAATATCTTTCCATTATAATTCTTTCAAATAAATATCTTTCGAATATAATTCTTTCAAGTAAATATCTTTCAAATATAATTCTTTCAAGTAAATATCTTTATAATATAATTCTTTCAAATAAATATCTTTATAATATAATTCTTTCAAATAAAAATCACCATGTGACACCTCATTTAACTTTTCCGGCGTGAGAAATATATTCAACATATCACATCAAATGGCACGGCAATACCTTCGTGCACTTGTCTCATTCTCACCCAATATATATATGTAGATCAAATCAATTGGCACGGTAACACCCTTCGTGCATTTATATCTTTCTCACCGTGCATACATATAACAATACCAACTAGGTGGGAGAAATGCCAATAACAATAAAAGAAGTAAAGTGGAGGCATACAGGAAGCAACAACGACTACAAGTCATATAGAAAACACATGTGCACAATAACATCTCAAGATAAAGGCATGAATGTATACACAACAAAACGATATCACAATATAATGTATGTCTCTCGTCCTCGCCTGCACGGAAACACCCTTCGTGCCATGAATATATGATAATATAAAAATAATTGCACGGCATCACCCTTCGTGCTTTTACTCTCATCCTCACCTGATAATATAAATGAAATGGAATGGCATCACCCTTCGTGCTTTACACTCTCAATGTCA